GCTTTCCACTGGCCACAACAAAAGCGCTCAAGACCCAATACGCCTGAAAGAATATGCAAAAATGCACAAATAAAACCCCTCCAAAATCATCTGCAAATGCTCAGAGTGAGTGCAGCCTTAAAGTGTATATATTCTCTAGCTGCTCTTAATATTAAATTATTCCTTCTCAAAGATCCCAAAAAACCACTAGAGCAGGATAACAAAAAACTTTGGTCCTCCAGCTGTTGTGGAACTACAAGTCCCATAAGGTATTGCAAAACTCTGAGAGCCACAGGTATGACAGATGTATGATGGAATTTGTAGTCTGGGAGGGTCGAAGTTTGGCTACCACTGCTCTGGTTTCAGTTTCTAACAGCTTACAATCACCTACTGAATGTTAACATTAGAAGGCTGCCGACTTCAATGTCAAAGTTGTAAACTGCAAAAATGACATTTGTCCACAATGCTTATAGACACAGAGATGAATGAGGGTTTGTTTCAAGTACGGTTACTGCTTGTTTAGAATATGTAAATACTTTAGTGTGAATGGCCGGGGCACTGCTTAACTTTAAAGGCTAATTTGCTTAGTCAGCTCTAAGGAATATCTTTCTGGTGTTATGGAGATGAGAAGAAAGTGAGATATTCTGTAGTCCTGAAGGGAAACCTGGGCAGGGCTGATAGTGCAGCATTAGCACTGTGTTGTCAGATAAAACATGAAGTTAGGAGCTCACTGGATTTCTGACAGATCAACAGCGTACCTGCAGCGTTTTAGAAGGATAAAACATGAGGAAATGTGCATGTCCTGCAATGAGCTGAAACTGAGTAATTTTCATTTTGTCTAGACATACACTTTAAAGTAAATCTGTCACAAACCTGAACAATGCAAACTAATCTGTTGATGAGAAAAAAAAAATGCATAAGCAGATATTGACCTCAGGGCCAAACTTGACCTTTTCAGGAAAAGATGAGATTTGCATATAAATTCTGCTGCCTATAATTTGGATCTGCTGATTGTTTTGACATGAGGTTTTCATTGAGGTTAACCTTTACAAATGCATTTTTCATTATATTCGCAGTTTGAAAGCCAAGATTTTTGAAAGGTTTACTTGAAGAATAAGGACCATAAAAAGAACCATATCAAAGATATTTAACCACTTCAGAATTCTGAATTTATGTCCTACATCCTGTCCTGAAGTGGTTAAAATAAACCCGCAGCAGTCATTAGCTTGTTTCCCGTCTGTTGAGGTAAAGTGATCTGGGAAGGTAGCTATAAAGATGAACGATTGCGTTAACATGATTTGGGGATTGCTGCCCCCCCAGGCTCTGTACTTGTTCAGCTAAATAAGAGGGTGGGGGAGACATCAGGGGTCTAATAGACCCCGATGCCTCTTTAAAAAGGAGTTAACGTGTACCCAATGTTATCACATGGGGGGCTTTGTTAGCCCCCTTGCAATAGCAAAAAGTTAAAGGAGAAATGTGGGGAGAGTAAAATATACTTAGAGCCGGTGTGGGGCACAACAGCTGTCGCACAGTGACTCTAACACCAAGAGCTGAACAATCATATAACCACTGTTAATCACCTCTTGGTGTCAACTACTTGCCCAAGGGCTAAAGCAGGGGCTGAATCTACTTTTGATCAAAACTAGGGATGCACCAATATCGTTTTTTGTACCGATACCGATATTTTGCTTTCGGTACTCACCGATACCGAGTACCGATACCGGTGCTGCTGCTGGCATGGAACTGGCATCCCGGGCGATCAGGAAGCCGGGCAGCGGGTAATGACCTGATTGGCCGGGAAGGCGGCTTCCCAGCCAATCAGCAAAGAGCTGGCATACCGGCCAATCTGGAAGCCAGGAGGTGGGTCATTACTTGCCACCCACCTTCCTGATTGCACGGGAAGCTGGCTCCATGGTCCACTATGGCACTGCCGGTCAGAGGAAATCTTCCTCTGACCGGAAGTTGCAGTATTGGGGGAAGGTATCGGAGCATTTGGGCGAGTACGAGTACACGACCAAATACTCAGCATTGGTATACTTGGTATCTGGGAGGCGGGGCCAGATTTGATCGGGTAATTCCATTTTCCCATATTATTTGGGAAAGTGAACTTCCCTTTAATGCACATTGTGTGTGTGTAAAAGAGTTCTGCTGCCTGGCTACCACAATATGGCACACAGTGGAATGGCGGCAGCACTCAACACGCATGCACACAATGCCCTACACGTGCGTTTATTTGCATGCGGATGGAGGGGGCAGCAGGGTTGGTTTTTAAAAAAACATGAGTTGATTACCTGATAACTCTGTTTCCAGGAATCTTCCAGGACAGCCATCGAGATATAGGCTCCGCCTGCCTGCAACAGGAAACACATCAACCACATTAAATAAATAGAATTTTTTTTTTACAATTTTATATATTTTATTTTTCTTTTTACTTTTTTCCCCACTTAATTGTATTCCTATCACACAGGGGCTTACAAGCAGGTTCTCTTTATGGAGCCTGCCCTCCAACACAGATCTGTGCAGTTTCTGACAATTGAGACCGTTGACGCTGTGATTGACGCTGTGATTACAGCGCTCCAGTCTCACTGATCACACAGGGCAAAGCGAAGAACAGGCGTTCTTCGCTCTACTCCCCACTCTCCATCCTGAGCTCATGTGGCGGGGGACACAAGACCAGGTTAAAGCCATGAACAATGTATCAACACAGTTATCTAGAGACGCTCTCTTTTGAAACCTTAATTAGATCTAGTTTTATAAGCGCTGCTCAAACTGTTGGTGATATATATATATCCTGTATAATAATAACAACCAATTCTATCTTTTGGTTGACTATTATTCCAGGTAGTCTTTGTAAATAGGTGTCTTGTCTGGTCGCATCTGCACATAGATGATCTATAACTCCTTTAGATGGATGAACATTTATTGGACTCTCCTGACAGGAATGTGGCTTTCCCTGGTAAGCAGCTATTTATAAGTTATTTTCATCAGTGATAAATGTTGGTGTTGGTACCATTACTATCTGGGATAAGCAGCAACATATGATAAATGAAGAAATACTGGTTAAATAGGTATGTCTTTGATATTTGTTAGAACACTAATCCCATCGTATGCATTTATGGGGACCTTGATTAATTGAATATATATACCTTATTAGAGATCACTGCATGGCAGATTACATACAATTCTTTGTCTCAGAGCCCGCCCGCACACCAAGTGACGCCTTTGTGTGGGTGACTCCCTATACCCCAGACTTCAATTGAGGTCTATATGTAAAATATACATATTGTGAGATATAGTCATGTAAATATAGAAGATGAAATAATGTTTGATATATGTCTATATACTTTCAGTCCTATCTTAAATCTTCTCCTGAAGAAGGGGCACTGTCGGTGAAACTCGTTGAGCGCAATCCTTCCACACACCCAGCAGTGAGTTACAGTATCGACTATACCCATCTATAATGAATGATGAACATAGGAAGTAGTGTTTAATTATAATCAAGAGGTGTTTCTGTGTGGAAAGATGGGAGAGGCAAGGGGGCAATTCGGAGGAGCTGTGTGTGTTTTTTTATCATGATTTTATGTTTTTATTGGATTATTAATTGATGGTGTTCAATAAAATGTGTCATAGCTTAAAAGCCGACCCTGTGGGTGCCTAAAAAGTTCATCATTGTATATACTTTAAACGAACTTCAGTTACAGTATCTAGTTATCCAAGGTATTACGATTCTGAATTTGGGGCTCATGCAAATCAGTGCAGCTACAGAGGTTGTCTAAAACCATGTCAGCACTACTAGGTATTGTCTTACCTGTAAACTGCTTAACATTTGCTTTGGCATGAACAGCTGTTTACAGGAGTGTAAGTCTAACAAGCACCTACTCCTAGGCCTACCAAAACCCAAAAGCTATTCACTGCATTCACATTAATTTAAGGGCTGTAGAAAACTAATGTTTTTACTGAGGGAATTTCCGGGCTGAACAATTCACATGATGCAGACTTATCTGGATCTGCAAACGCATCAAAAACGCATCTAAAAGACTAGCGTGCGTGTGCAGAAACCTGACCGGATCTGCTCTGCATTTGGTGTGAACAAGGCCTTAATGCATTATAGGCACGTTTACAAATATCGCATTTTTAAATGCACATGTTTTGGTCGTCTGGAATTTTGATTTAAGCGGGAAAACAAACATTCACTTGACTAGCCAATAATATAATATATTGTTTAGCAGCTCTAATTAACCAGTGAGAGGCTGTTTATATGCGTTTGTTTATTTATTTGCCTATATAAATTTAGTGAGGTATTACAGGTTCACAAGACTGATCTGTCAACTAAAACGTTAGCAAGAAATGTGATATTAGCATTTAAACCAAAGCTCAGTCCAATATATCTAGGTACCTTTAAAGCGACAATAAACTAAGGAGTCAAAATTTTAAAATGCATTCAAGTACCTTAATTATTAACATAGCTCTGTATCACCGGGCTGTAGATCATCAAATAATCTCTGAATTCATGCTGACACTGTCCTTTCTTCTGGAGGGTGGTTCACTGCTCCAAGCTCACTCCCATGATGGACTACCAGCTCACTTTTAGTTTACAAATTTGTATTGAGATGGCAGTCTATCACAGGAGTGGGCTTGGAGCGGGGACTACTTTACAGCGCACACATAAGATACATTTTTGTTAATATAAAAGCATTTTTTTAAGATTTAACTCTTGAGTTTATTTTCACTTTAAGTCCTAATTCAGAATCTTACAGTGACACAGTAAAAAGTATTGCTGGAACACCTGAGAGCTTCAAACTATACTTCATTTAAATTTCACCAACTATGGAGATATTTTAACTACACACACACACACACACACACACACACACACACACACACACACACACACACACACAAACAAAAAAACAAAATGAATGTCTCCA